TCGAAGTGGCATGTTAAAGAGTTGAGGCATTGTTGGTCTTGTTGTTCGGCGAAGCTCAAAGCTGCCTCGGCTCGACATTGAGCCGGTGTCGGCAACGTCGATGCGAAGCTGTGCGAGAGTTGCAGAACATTCGCCCTAACTTGCAACACGCAACACAATCCATCCTCTCATAGCAGTTGTATGCAGTTATCGTCCGCAGGAGTTGTCCAGCTTCATCGGAATAAGACCGTATCGCACGTAGGCACGATACCCTGAGCAACAGTAAATCCTACGCCAGAAACGAACCAATGTACGGTGGAGTTCCTCTCCGTCACCCACTCAGCTCGCTAGCAGACAAACGGCACCGCAGCTGAGTTGCATTGGCTCGTGTCGAGGCGGGTGAACTCCAAAGCCTGGCCCCGATACCGAGTGCGCGAAATATGGTACGAGATTCTAGCACAGCTACATCTACCTTAGGGCCATACTTGTCGGTGAGATCAACTCGCATTCTTAGTCGGATCTTTCCTTTGTGCTGTTCATGGAGATGTGAACCCCTCCTCCATATCTAGAAACAATTAGAGTTTGCACAATGCTCCTACATCTCCTACCAGCGATCACCCTCGCGTCCGCCGCCTTCGAAGCCTCAAACTTCGGCTTCGAATGGCAGCAACGCCTCTCCTCGCTCGGGTTGGAGGAGAACAACGTCACAAGTGGTGGGTGTGAAGCAGCAGTACGTTCTACATAGATTCACAAAGTTCTGGCCAAATCTATATTGACAAGTGTACAGTGCGCCTACCTAAGCGACCATCTCCCAATCCCCGACATTCAACCAGACAGCGAGACAGCATACTGGAAGGAGAAGAGTTTCTTCTGGTCCGCCCAACAAGCCGCCATCTCCCCAAAATGCTTCGTTCAGCCCCTCTCAGCCGAAGACGTGGCGGCGGTTGTGGTGTTAGCACAGCAGACGCAATGTAAATTCGCCGTCAAGAGTGGCGGGCACGCTGCTTTCGCCGGCGCATCGAATATCCAGGACGGGATTACTATCGACCTGCAGTATCTTGACGAGATCACGGTGTCGGAAGACCAGACGGTCACGAGGTTAGGGCCTGGAAATAGGTGGACGGATGTGTATAGCCACCTCGTCCCGCTCGGGTTGTCAGTGGTTGGAGGTAGAGACTCGGAGATCGGAGTCGGAGGACTGACGTTGGGGGGTGGGATAAGTTGGTACTCGAGTCGATATGGGTGGGCTTTGGATGGAGTGAGGAGTTATGAGTTAGTCACGGCAAGTGGGCAGGTGCTGGAAGTCAACCTCGAATCGTACCCAGATCTCTACTGGGCTCTCCGAGGAGGCGGCAACAACTTCGGCATCGTGACCCGCTTCGACCTCGAAACGTTCCCGCAAGGCGGGATGTGGGGTGGCTCCATGATAACAGGGCCGGACACTCTAGACCAGGTGCTAGACGCTTTCCACGACTTCGCGTACACTTCCACCGGGGACGTGGATGCGTTCTCGTTCTCGGCGTTCTGCTGGTTCCAGGAGCACAAGATGTTCATCGCCTCGTCTACGCTAGTGTATGCCCGACCGGTGGAGAGCCCGGCCATTTTCGAGAACTACACCAAGATCGAGAGCATGCACTCGACGCTCAAGATGAGGGATATGGTGGATATGTCGGCGGAGATCAGCTCGAGTTCGCCGAACGGGCTGCGGGAGTCGTACTGGACGGCCACGTTCCGGATTAGTCGGGAGATGTTGCAGGTGATTGTGGATATTTGGAAGGAGGAGATAGAGCCGATTAAGGAGGTGGAGGGGTTGATACCTGCGTTGGTGTATCAGCCGATGACTTCAGATGTGACATCACGGTTTGCGAAGAACGGAGGAAATTGCTTAGGCATCAAGGAGAGCGAGGGCCCGCTGCTGAATATCAATTATTCGGTCATGTGGAAGAACGAGGAGGATGATGAGGCGGTGTTGCATGCAGCGCGACAGACGATCAAGCGGAGTGTTGAGAAGTCGAAGGAGCTGGGGCTGGATCATCGGTATATCTACCAGAACTATGCCTGGCATGAGCAGGATGTGTTTGCTGGGTATGGTGAGGAAAACAGGGAGAGGTTGAGAGAGATCAGTAAGAAGTATGATCCGGAGCAAGTATTCCAGAAGTTGCAGCCGGGTTACTTCAAGCTGTGAGTGTATAGCTAGATATGGGAATCAAAGAGGAAAAGAGATGTGTGGTCTGAAAGCAGCGTGAGGTGCCTTGCTAGGCGTCGACCTACGGAGCCTATCTGCTTTGAGGGTGTTCGTAGTATGCAAGGATTTCGATGCGTGCGAGCGTGATGAAGATGTTGTGCATTTCGGTGTTCGTGCAACCTCTGCTGCTGCACGACCATAGCCAGCGGTTCGGCATCCTAGCAGCAACGAGGAATCGATTGACAGCAACGTGTTTCTGACACCCGCCGTGTACGACGTGCTGGGTGCCGCTGCTCGAGCGCTTGTCCATGATGCCACAAATGGAGCGATGGATCAGGATGGCATTGTGGTGGTGGTGGCGGCGTGGGTGGAAGTGAAGTCGTCCCCGAACAAAGGACCGTCTCCAGATCTCACTCAGCGCAATCTCCAAGCCCACACAATCTTATAAGAGATGAAGTCGAAATCCATGGCGAAACAAAAGACTGCGCCAAGTGGATGATTTGACGCAAATTATAGGGGCGCGTGGCTGACCTTTTGAAACTCGAGGGCAGCTTTCGGTTGTGCCTGCCGCAGATTCGCTGTGCCGTTCGGGTGCTAGCGCGCTGTGCCTTCCGCTCGGGAGTCGTCGACCACACATCGCCCCTTCCCACTCACCACCCGTTTCAGCTGGCCATCCCAATTCTGCTTCTTCACTCGTCTTGCGCTTTCCACTTGTTGCCCGAGACTCGAGTAGTGTTGGGTGTCGACCACATCCCACTGCTATCCCGCCCGTACGACAGACAGCCCGGCGCTGCACGCGAAGTTCGAGACGTCCGGTCACGCTCCCGCAGCCTCACCACTTTACTCGCCCGCGGACTCTACTGCGCACCAGTCACTCATTCCACCTCACGTGCGCACGATACTTTGGCAGTATACCCGACCTTCACCGCTCGACGCGACCAGATCACGTACACCCGATAATACCCCCCCTCCCCCCTCCCCACCCCAGTCGCTCGTTATCACCCCTCATACTTTCCAACTACGCGCGGGGTCTATCACGCCCGCTTTATGCCTGGCTTTGAAGGCTCGACCTCACCGTCACTACACAAAATGGAGATGAATAATGCTCGATATGGCGCCGAGCCGCGGAAAGGCTTCAGCATCGCGAATATCGTCGGCGACCCATTCTCCCTCGCGACCATTGGCATAGCGCTGGTGAGTCCATACCACTGAAATCGTGCTTGGGAGGTTTATTATGCTGACTACGTGTACAGGCCGGGTGGTTAATTTCCTTCGTCAGCTCCATCATAGCCGATATCAGCAACGACTTCCCAAATTTTGCCTGGTGGACTCTGGTATACATGTTTGGTGTGATCGTGGGTGTAGTAGTCACGGTGGCGACCAACTCGATCGCGACATACCATGTGGCTATTGTCGGCTTTCTGGCAGCGGGGCTGGTCTTCACCACATCGTCAGTCAACTCGCTGATCTACTACCCCGAGGGTTCGAAGGAGGCGGCTGCTGCAGGCTTCATATTGCTGTCCATGGTTTCGGTGAGTGCAGGCTGCATGCGATTTCACATATGGCATACTAATCTGTATTCTAGATCGTCTGGATCTTCTACTACGGCTCGCAACCACAAGCCGCCCACCGCCAGACCATCGACTCCTTCGCGTTACACAAAGACCACGCTCCAAGCGCACGAGCCAGCAGACACATGACACAGCAATCCTACCGACCAGGAACACAGCACTCCTCCGGCCAACCACCGCAGATGTACAACTCCGCCCAATTAGCAGGCTTCGAGACTTCTTCACCCGTCACCGGCTATCCCGGCGGCCGAGTTGGCGAACAGAAACGCGAGAGCGCCTCTGCCTTCCCAGCACCCGCCCAATCACAACCACAGCAACAGCAGCCACAGCAATCCATCGCAGTTCCACAGACGTCGACATTGGCACCCTCACACCAAGACAGCGCAGTATCTCAGCCCGCAGAATACCCATACCGAGCGAAAGCCATCTACAGCTACGAAGCCAACCCCGACGACGCGAACGAGATCTCTTTCTCGAAACACGAGATCCTAGAGGTCAGCGACGTGAGCGGCAGGTGGTGGCAGGCAAAGAAAGAGACGGGTGAGACGGGTATTGCTCCGAGCAATTACCTCATTCTGTTATGATCGGGTTGACTACGCCGAGGTTGATTGAGGACACGACGAGGACGACTGGGCCTTCGCGGGCAGCTTCTTAGCGATGAGCATGCCATAGCATGGTTCTATACACAGGACTATTGGATGTACGGAAAGGTCTGCTGTTTGGCGATGGCGCTTTGAGGCTACGGGCTATGGGAATAGGGTATGTTTGATGCTCCGGGTTTTGCGACGATACCAGCGATTGTGTTTTCCTCTCTTATACAAGCAGAAAGTTTCTTCTCATCAAAAGGCTGCTTGCTGCTTTCTGCTCTCTCTTCTCTAGCGCTGGTCGGTACGGTAACAGAGTTATGTTGTTCGCGTAGTTCCATGGTTGCATTCTAAGGGCTTCTGTATACGCTCTTTGTTGTATACACTTCCACTCTACTCTACTCTGTCTTGCCCGAATTGTTGAATCGTGCCTGTACCCCCATATCATGCCACGCCATCACTCGTCACTCTGGCTGTGTGCTAGAAGACCTGTGGTGGTGTTAACAGACTGGTTCATGTCTTGGCACACTGCCCCCAGCCAAAAGAAAAGTCAAATATCCGTCCCGTCTCCAACACCTCATAATACACCCCCTCATACCTCTCATATGCAAAAAGAAAGCCCATACGGGAATTTGAATTGGCCGGGAATCGAACTTCATGACTTTTAGCATGACGGCCATGCGAATTGGGGAGAGATTTGATGCTCACCCCGGAACTGCTGCTTGGAAGGCAGCAATGCTAACCATTACACCACCAATTCTTTGGTAGATTAGATCTACCAGGAGTTTATTAAGTATTTTGAATCATAGCTGACCAATAATCGTATATGACAGTCGTTGGAGAGCTCAGAAGGGAGATAATCGCCGAAATAGGAAGGTGCCGCGGCATCGTAACGGCGGGATGATGGTGAGAAACGGGGGATGTATGGTGTACAGTATTGGTTGGAAGAGGAAGAAACATTTGAGTGATATACAGAGAACTAGAGCTGGAGAATAATTTGACTTGATATGCGTCAGGACTCAGTCGGATGTGGCTCTTGGGGACCGGTAAGGGCTGGTAGAATGACAGCTGTTCTGTTGTGGTGAACATGCCGCAATGGAGTCGCGGTGGCGGGACTGTAGTGGTGGGTTCGTCGACCTCGAGATCCACAGTCTCGGCCACAGCGAATGTCCTTGGAGCTGCAAGTCAGAAACCACCTAAGCGGACGAATAGCACGGTAGACGAATGCCTCGAGCTTCGTAGCGAGTGGTGGAAGGTCGTAGAGCGCCACACAGTGCTTGATGCTGTCTCGGAGAGGTTCCCACCCATATATTCGGGTCCCGGCACTCGTGGCGATGTATCGTGCCAAACGGTCGCCCAAGAGTAGCTGCCCTAGGATCGGAAACCTCAATGGTCCGGGTTGGCATACATTCTTCTCGGGTTTAGCAATGGCGGCTTCGAGACGAGATCTGATTTTGTAGCAGCACATCGAGATCTTCACTCCGTCGAGGGCCTTGACCCTGTCGACTGCCACTGGTCATACTCTGTAGCCTGAAATCCATCGTTCCGGCCAGCAAGTTGATGGAGCTATACAGCGTACTTGATGACTCAGTTCTCTTGAAAGGAGAGATCGAGTAGAAGCCCGCCGACGATACCCTGACCAACTTTCGATGCTTACGCAGCCAGACCGCTGTCGAACTTGTGATCGTGATCTGAGGAGGGCGGATTCGTTTCATCAGTGTCAATTGAGCCAAAGACAGGCGTCTTAGTAGTCCAGTACTTGCAGCGGGAAATGATTGGCCATGCAAGACATGCTCGAGTTGTGGAGTTGTGTATCACGCCTCAATGATCAGGATTGACATACATCAACGGCAACAAGTCCCGAATCCTCACTGTGGTCCGGCCATCTGCTCCTTTGACGATGACTTTGATCACGGGATAATAGTCATATAATATCTGTCGACACCGGCCGCAGGGATTCAAGACGCCACGGTCGTTGTTACCGACGGCGACGATATGAGTCAGCTCCCTAGCACCAGCCGCAGCTGCTGTTCCGATAGCAACAAGCTCTGCGCAGGGTCCGCCCGTGAAGTGATACACGTTGACACCTGCGAAGATTCGGCCATCTGAGGTCCGGACCGCCCAGGCGACGCTGTGGTGGTCGGAAGCCGGGATGGAGGAGATGGTTCGGGTGGCGGCGTCGATAAGTTGTTGCTCGATAATGGTGGCCATGAATTCGACATTCGACTAGGAGCCAGACCTCTCGACGGATTGATGGCGGTACAAACGTAGGTTCAATCTTTCAGGAGAAGCCCAGTTCCCATCGAGCAAGCCGAGACACAAGAGGAGTCTTTTGTCGGGGGGAATAGTGGTGCTTTGGCGCTGTGCGGTAGTATCGTGGTTTGCGCTAAGAAGTCAAGTCCAAGAGTTTTGTAGTCCAGAGGGTAAGGTATTGATTGCGTTTGATATTCAGCCACATCAGGAAATCGGCGAAATCGGCAGGAGCACGCACCACCCCTTGCTTCACGTATCACATCGACACCTTCATGGCCAGGACCAGTTTACCACATAGCTCATGAAGTACGAGGCCATCATGGACCAAGGACCTCCAAAGCAATGCCACCTGCTCGCCCTACCCGGGGAGCTCCGCGCAGTCATACTCGAGCTCGTCTTCCACGATCCAGCCAGACAGACCGGCCTAGTAAAGAAGGGTGCTTCTGGTAGTCTGGTTCTTGACGACTACTACCGTGCCAACAGCAATCTCGCACCGCTTCTGGTATGCCGTCAAATGTACCAGGACAGCGCCTATCTCGGGATGTCAGCCACAACCTTCGTTATGACCAGTCTGTTTGGCGAGATACCACAACGACTTTCGATCCTCCAGACGAAACAGGTTCAGAGCATCCGCAACATCACGTTTGCTGCAGATGCGAGGCAGTTCCGGAAGATGATCGATTGGCGACAGCATCCGTTCGATCTGCCTAACCTTCAGCTCGACACGCTTACGATAGTACTGAATCGGTCCAGCTTCTGGCACTATTTGTTCGACTACACGCAAGGGATTGTATCATTACTACGCAGTTTGCAAGGTGTACGACGCCTTGTCATCGTCCGCAACGACGCTCGGGTCAAAGGAAGTCTGAAGACCTGGTACAATCGACTTGTCGGGCTGATCTTGAAGGTCGACCATCAGCAGCGATACGACACAACGTCACCCAAACTGGAAGAAGTGTGGTGGAAGTGGAGCTTCGACCAAACTGCACAGACGATATGTCTCGAAGCTCAGCCACCGAAGCCATTGACAGATGAGGAGGACTACTTCCAGATGGTGCTGCCGCTTATGGAGAAGCTGAGAGACAGCATCGAGACTGAGGAATGGAACCCGGATCCGAGAAGTCGCACGATGTATTACTGAGGTATCGAGTTTACATACATCAATGGAGCACGCCCTGATCTGCCATCTCATCAACATACTTCTTGTACCTCTCCGCACTCTGCCTCCTCAGTTGCTTGCCATATTTGACCACAACCAGGAAAGTAGCACACTGCGCCATCCCAGCAAAGGCTGCAAGTATGAAAGCGTTTTGGTAGCCCATATTCGTCACCCACGGTGTGACACCATACCCAATGGCGAAGCTCATCGTGTTGCGAACCAGGATGACGGTCACCATGGCTTCGCCGGAGAGGTCTTTGTAGCTGTCGATGCAGTACGAAACAGAGAGCTGAAGGCCGATTGTGTTGGTGAGTGCGATGACGCCCATGGCGAAGACACAGCCGAACCAGTGAATGGCGTTTGCGGCACCTGGGAAATAGTCAGACAAATAATGTAGCGGTGCGCGCATCGGCTTGCTTACCGACGCCCCACAGAATCAATCCAAGTGGGATGAGCAGAAGACTCGGCGCAAAGAGCCATAGCCTGTGTTCGGCCTCTAACATGCCTCCATTCCGCCTCGCCATTCTCAGCACGACGCGATCACCAATATAGCCGGTGTAGAAGCTGCCAATAGCCACACCAATAAGCGGGCTTACATAGCTTACTCCCACCATCGATGCCGCGAAGTTGTACGGTTCACCACCAAGAACGAGCGATGCTGTTGCATTGAGCACATTGAACCAGACCAAATTCGAGCCGTACGAAAACCCGGCGTAGAAGATCACTGGGAAGCTGAGAAAGACCAATGGTCGGGTGACCATGCTCCAGAAGGGTCCCGATTTCCTGGAACCAGCGGCTTGCCATAGCTTCAGCTTGTCGAGATAAGTCTTTTGCCTTTTCGCGGACAAAGGAGATGGAGAAGACTCGGTGGCCTCAACATCAGCACCTGCGAGAGCTTTCTTCTCATGCTCGCTAGGTACTGGGCTCGGTGATGACGAGCCCGTCGATGAGTTGTTCTCTTGGTTGAGAATGACCGCCCGATGGTAGTTGGTCTCTTCCATGAAGAAGAAGAGGAAAACGAATCCCATGCCGCAGAAGATCGCGCACCAGTATAGCACCCACTGCCAGCCTTGGCCATCGGCGATGAAGCCTGCGATGATGGGAGCAAAGAAGTTGCTGCCAGCTAGTAGGAGAGCGTACACGGCGATATACGTGCCTCGTTCGTGCTGGAAGTATCTGTGTTGTCAATTAGAGGATATCTCTCGATGGTGAGACGAGGGATATGTACATGTCTGCAACACTGATCTCACAGAGACTTTCAATCGGAGCGCCGAAGAAGCCCTCTGTTGCAACCATGTTAGCCATCCCAATTTCGAAGCGTGTTCGGGTGTACTCACGCAAGACCTTGTTGGCGATCCACTGCCCATTGCTCGTAGTATATGGCGCCCAGACCTGAATCCCCATCGTGGCCAGGATACTGATCAGATACACTGGACGCTTGCCATACTGTAGCGCCAAAGGCTGCCAGAACAAACATCCCCAGCCAAATGCTAGAAACATATAGCCAGTCCCAGCATTCAGATCCCCCAACGTCAAACCCGTGGCCTCTGAGATAGGTACCAGTACCGAGTAGATGGCGGCGCTTGCTATCCCGACCATAAGCGTATACACGCACATACAGGTTGTCGAGAGCCGTTTCCGAGCTGGAGACCAGTTGAGCGGGTCATCAGGATCGGAAGAAGGCGCTGGCACGAGCACAACGTCGCGCAGTCCAGAGTTTTTGGCATGTTTGGCATGCAGAGTCCCGTCCAGATCGACCAGATGGACTGTTCCCGGTACTGGCTGGAGGGCATCTTCAGCCTTGACTTCTGATCTGATCCAGCCCATCTTGAATTGCGTACTTCGAGAGTGCTGGAGTAGAAAGGAGGACTTGAGATGGATACGATACCGTATTACATCACATACTTGACCGATATCGCAAAGCAGGCATGCTGATAGGCGAAGCTGTGGTATTGCAGCGTTCCACGAAAGCGCTGTACGAATGGAGCCGATGGAGCACAATCGGCTCCACAACAGATACCTATCTATCACAACGTGGGAACTGCCGGCAACTGATAAGTGATCGATGCGAAGGAGTGGAAGATAACAAAAGTAAAATGCCATGAGGGTCAGGGAGTCCCTCGAATCAAGCCGCGGATCCACCTGCTCCTTCAAGGAAGCGCCGAAGGCTTGATTTCTTCCGCTAACAACACATCCTCCTTCGTTCCTACATCTTACCCCATCTCCTTCAAGATCTCGTCTGACATATGTGCTGACCAGTTCCGGTGGCGGCTAGAGTGGCGTCATGTCTCGAGGCTTGGTCTCGTCCTCGTGGTCGCGCTGAATGCCAGCTCACGTCCCCAAGGTTG